GAGGCATTGGTCGGCTTTGTTTCTTTCAGCCCATACCTTTTCTGTTATTCCCAACTCTTTCCAAAGCTCTCCTCCGGGTAGGCCTGGATGTGGTGGGTATGGCTTATCCCACTTGTTGTACCATGAGCCTCTTCCTCTACCCCAGGTGGAGTAAGAACCACGGCCACCGTATGAGGGACCATTTCCCCTTCCTCCTACGTAGTGGCTTCCTTCACCACCACCCCTCTGGGTGCCGAATCCTCGTCCACCACGGTCGCGACCTCTTCCTCGGCCACGCCCTCTTCCTTGACGCCCTCCCCCGCGGGCTGCAACAGCCGCGTAACTCCCCTCCTGAGCTATCGGTTTGTTGGGTTCATCGAGACGATAGTCAACCTGATCCCAGGAGATGGTCTCGGCGCCTCCTTCTTCAAAGGTTAGAAGGAGACTGTCCTTCCCAGGTATAGACCCTGAGATAGTGCGGTTCTGCCATCTCTTACCCGCTTGCAGATCCTTCCAATAATGGCAATAGTTCGCCTCGGCGAGGAAGTCGGCGTGATGTATGGCGATCTTGCCGAACTTCTCATACGTCATCCCCTCTTCTTTAGTGCGGGGATAGAGTTGTGTGCGTAGGGGATCCGGGAGTGCTCGTGCAAAATTATTTAGGATTTGGGCCGGCGTTAATCCATGATCAGGGCATTGCAACAATTCATCCATAGTTGCCTTTAATGCAAAAGTGCTCTTCCATTTCCTATCGGGGAGGCCGAGGATCAACATCTTTGTGCGCCTTGCCAGGTTCTTGTCCTCAAATCTCTCTCTTACCGCTTTAAGGAAATCCTCAGTACGGGTCTGTTGCGAATACTCTACCATAGAGCTGCATCCCGCTTCCTTTTGCAGCGAGATGGCGAAGCTCATGGCGTCGCCTCCCATGCATGATGTCGCCATCAATACCCTGTCCCAGTACGGGATGCGCTGTCCTTACATATAGGTTTCAATTGCCGCCGCCCAGTGCAACACACTCTCTTCTTTCTTTCCATTGTAGGTCCAGGGCAGTTTAAGCTTAATCTTGTTAGTCTGCCCGGGTTCCTGGGAAGGTTAACCCTTTGGATTCCCAATCTTCTTCTTTCCTTTCTTGTCATCATTGCGGTCGCCATCTCCATCTCCTCCGTCACCTCCAGCTCCCTTTACAATCTTCTCTACGACCTCCGGTGTGAAGACTTTATTGATATGTTCGTCCAAAGCCTGGATGTAAGTTTGCACATGTTGGTCAACGTCCTTTGCTGACTTTTCTACGAAGTTATTCCAGACATTCTCAAATTCAACCCGATGTGTTTCTACACGTTGCAAGGTCTGCCGCATTAAGTCCATGTCTTGCCTTGTGTTGAGGATGGCCTCCCTGAGGAGTGCAAGCTGTGCTTCAGTTGCAGAGGGGTTTTCCTTTTGCACTTCTAGAGCTTTCTGCAATTTATCCCCTTCTGCCTGCAATCTTTTCTTGTCTTCCACCTCTTGCCGTCTAGCGGCCAACAGCCTGCGATTTAGCTCAGCCCGTTTCTCCTCCAACAACAGGTTTCGTTCAACGGTGTCTTTAATAGTGGCCAACTTGGCGATGAACGTATCCCGTTCTTCATCAGATTCTTTTAACGGCTCGCTGGAGTAGTAGTACCGGCTGCCCCAGTCCAGCGGTTCAACGGGAAGACGGGTTGTTGTGCTGCTTTCAGGTATGTCTTGGCGACGACGTCTTTCCAAAACTTCTCCTTCTTCCTGTTCTTCTTCTTCTTCTTCTATACTTTTCAACTCTTCTTCCAACTCTCTGTCCATCTTCTCTTTCATCTTCTTCTTGACTTCTTCTTCTTTCTGTTTTTTCTTGGCTTCCTTTTCCTTTTTCTTTTCTGCCAGCCTGCGGTCTATTTCTGCGTGCTCCGCAGGTGTAGGGCCAGGCTTCACTGTTCCAGACCGCATCAGCATGCGGGACGTGCACACACGCCCGAACCCTAGTGGGAACATAAGCCGGAACAGCGGCCCCAACAAGACARAAAGGGCCAAYAGGCCCTGAATGGGATAGTMATCCATGATGACTACCGGCACAGGGAACCCTCCGCCGGGTCACCAAGGTACTATCCCACTTACAGACTTGGTGGTCTTGACTTGCGGTAATGGAGTACTTATACCTTTCCTTTTCCCTCTTTTTTTTTTGTTCAACGGTAGAAGGTGCTGCGTACAATCAATAATAGATCAAACTACAATGAACTTGAATATGTCTATTTTTTTTATTTTTTATTTTGATGTGCTGTCTGGCCTCCTGGATCGAACTTGTGGCAATGTGTTTGTCTCCCTTGATACCTCCTGATGAGTCGGTGAAACTCCGACGAAACAGTTTGTCACAGCCCCTCGTTTGTTGTCCTCTTCTCCCTCTCTGCCTACGGTTTACCGGGCAGTTCTATTTGATGATATAAATATTTTTTCTTTCTTTTACTAACTTGCTGGGTGTCTGATGCAGGTATGGAGTACAGCGCAGATTCAGATGGTTCTCTTATCCAACCAGGCAGGAATACTTCGTTCCAATGTTCCTTTCTGTTGGCTCAACAGGCCCTGTAGGTACTCAATATCATCCTTATACTGCCTGGTTCATGCTATCTGACGTGGCACATAGCCACTTTCCAAATCAATTCTTGGTTCTTGATAACGATACCCAGCCTACCTGTCAAGAGGGATAGGAGAGAGACCTACTCCTATTCGCAGAATACTGGACCACCTACTCTAGTGTGACCAGTTCCTGACACATCACACTTGGGTCATCAGACTCTGACGGCTCAGACCTGACATCTATGACAGCCCAGATCCAGACTTCGACTCCTGACCAGATCAGCAGCAGTCACCTTCAGAGGGTCAGAGAGAGAGAAGGTAGGGGACACACACATGCATGCAGGTTCAGGGAGAGGAGGTGCTTCTCTCTTCTTGAAGATATCGCCGATGGTGCTCCACGACGCTCCGCACGCTCCAGGTAAGTAGACTTCGCCACTTCTTCTTCGGCCTGCTTCCCCCATTATCAAACCCTTCTTCTCTTCCTCCCTCCTTCACTCTTCCTCCATCGCCACTTCTTCTCGCCGGCCTTGATCAGACCAGCGCTATGAGTGTAACGAGCATCTGCTCCGATACCAAAATTTGCATGGGTCCTGGGGACCATCTCACGCAGATGTGTACATGGCATGCATCATCTTCACACGCAGTGATCAATAGTCTCAACCATAGACAAAGGTAGAGAAGAAGAGGACCGAGTTTCACAGCTTATATTATCAGAAATATGAATACGAAGTGTTTCAAAGTTCCCCTGAGTTCAGCGCTCGTCAGCGCAACACCAATCTCTTGTCAACTCATCAATATGACTTCCAGTGAATCAGCGCTACTCCTGCAGACAGTCTCCAAGTCATCAATGTGGTCACTACTCATCAGCGCCA